TTGAACCTGGGAGGTGGAGGGTGCAGTGAGCTGAGATCATGCCACTACACTCCAGCCTAGGCAACAGAGCGGGACTCCATATCAAAAAAAAAAAAAAAAAAAAAGGCATGTAATTCCTCCAAATTGTTTTATCAAGATGTATTTTGCTACATCTTGATAAATTATTCCAAATTTCAAATCCACAGGTCATTGTATATTCTTTTGCCACATTCAACATTCACTTAAAAATAGAAGATTCTGCCAGGCAGGGTGGCTCATGCCTGTAATCCCAGCACTTTGAGAGGCTGAGGCGGGTGGATCACCTGAGGTCGGGAGTTTGAGACTAGCCTGGCCAACATGGCGAAACCGCATCTCTAGCAAAAATACAAAACTTGCTGGGCGTGGTGTAATCCCAGCTACCTGGGAGGCTGAGGTAGGAGAATCACTGGAACCTGGGGGGAGGAGGTCACAGTGAACCAAGAATGGGCCACTTCACTTCAGCCTGAGAGAGCAAAACTGTCTCAAAAAAAAAAAAAAGGCCGGGCGCGGCGGCTCAAGCCTGTAATCTCAGCACTTTGGGAGGCCGAGACAGGCGGATCACAAGGTCAGGAGATCAAGACCATCCTGGCTAATCTGGTGAAACCCCGTCTCTACTAAAAAATACAAAAAACTAGCTGGGCGAAGCGGCGGGCGCCTGTAGTCCCAGCTAGGGAGGCTGAGGCAGGAGAATGGCGTAAACCCGGGAGGTGGAGCTTGCAGTGAGCTGAGATCTGGCCACTGCACTGCAGCCTGGGCGGCAGAGCGAGACTCCATCTCAAAAATAAATAAATAAATAAATAAATAAATAAAATAAAAACATAAAGAAAAAAAATTCTGCATAGAAATATGTTGAGATATAAATATATCATACAAAATTAAATTTAAAATTGTTCATTTACCATTAACTCTAGAATCTAATTTCTAAAATATATATTTTTTTTTACCAATTTTATATTTGCTATGCTTTTTGTAAGAATACAACTTTTTTTAACACAGAAAAAAACAAAGCTAAGTGATGTAATCTTTTCACTTGTTAACAATGTATATCTATTCTGAAAGCTATATTGATAAGCAAATTCTTCAGTTAAAACCAATTTTTCGGCCGGGCGCGGTGGCTCAAGCCTGTAATCCCAGCACTTTGGGAGGCCGAGACGGGTGGATCACGAGGTCAGGAGATCGAGACCATCCTGGCTAACACAGTGAAACCCCGTCTCTACTAAAAAAATACAAAAATCTAGCCGGGCGAGGTGGCGGGCGCCTGTAGTCCCAGCTACTTGGGAGGCTGAGGCAGGAGAATGGCGTAAACCCGGGAGGCGGAGCTTGCAGTGAGCTGAGATGCGCCACTGCACTCTAGTCTGGGTGACAGAGACTCCATCTCAACAAAAAAAAAAAAAAAAAAAAAAAAAAAAATTTTTCAGTGCATTAAAGAATACCAACTTTCTCCTTAGAACCTACAAACTCCCATGTAAAATGACAACGCATGAAGACAACAATGAGAAAACTGTAGACATAACACAGTAAAAGAGGAAAGACTGTGATGCATATATACTTGGAATACACATAAGACAAAACTGAAAATCAAAAGAAGCAGAATTTTTGTATAAATTCAGTAAGTCAGCTTTGCAGCAGTCCTCTCCACATGATGAATCAACGTTATTTCTTCACCATTGGTATTTTCCATTTCCAACTTGAAGTTACAAACTCCAGCAAAAGTATTTATGACTTATTATAAAGCATGTTTTACTCAGAAGTCATATTTGTTTGCTACATATGTAAAAACATCCTCATGACTTGTGAAGTCTCCCTAGTACTTACCAAAGCAAATTAGCTCACTCAATAGATTTACTTATGTCAATATGAAAAGTGAAACAATAAAGAAGATTAGGCTTATATAGGTTTCTCCAATAAAACAAAATCAAAAACTAAAATATAATACAGTAATTTTGTAATTACATCTAAAAATTATTTTGTGTGCACTCTTTAATTTTTTTTTTTTTTTGACGCGGAGTCTTGCTCTGTGCCCCAGGCTGGAGTGCAGTGGCGCGATCTAGGCTCACTGCAAGCTCCGCTCCCCCGGGTTCACGCCATTCTCCTGCCTCAGCCTCCCGAGTAGCTGGGACTACAGGCGCCCGCCACCTCGCCCGGCTAATTTTCTTGTATTTTTGGTAGAGACGGGGTTTCACCGTGTTAGCCAGGATGGTCTCGATCTCCTGACCTCATGATGGGCCCGTCTCGGCCTCCCAAAGTGCTGGGATTACAGGCTTGAGCCACCGCGCCCGGCCCACTCTTTAAATTTCATAAAAATCATTCTTATAATCCCCAACCAGCTCACATAATGAGTACTTCATAAACTACAAAACAAGAAAATCATGGGCCTAGCATGAGTACCAGACAAGTAAAAACTGAGAATGTGCATAGGCAGATTCTGAACCATAAGCCCTAACATTTTACAGCAATGAATTCAATACAATGCAGAGTATAGATTTGCTTTCAACATTTTCAAGGTTTTTAGTTTTCTAATAAGTCACTGTATTAATTTGTTTTGTTCCAATATTGCTATCTTCTTCTGAAAATGGATACAAACTCGTACTCACACATACTTCATAATTTTCTTACACCTAAGGTTTATCTTTAGAGTCATATATGTATATATTTAACTCTATGTAAATAAAAACTAAAAGCCTGTATGTGTTTGCAGGCAGAGAGAAAACATGTTCAAAGAAAAATATGTAACAAATTCTTTAAGTATTTATTCAGGACTTAGAGATGTATCAATTTTATTTATACTTCTATACAAATTTTATTATGACCATAAAAATGACCCTGTAGCGAAGAACAATTGTAAATTTTAAAATAATCAAAGTGCTTTTAATATTTTAAAACACAGTATTTCTGTTATTTTACTAATCAAATTGTAATAAAAAGGATAAATGCTAGAGGTGATGGATGTCTCATTTATCCTGATGTAATTATTATATATTATACACCTGTACCAAAAAATGCCATATATGGCATAAATATATACACACACTGTGTAACCACAAAATTTAAAAGAATAAGACAGGATAAAAACGGGGCCAGGCATGGTGGCTCACGCCTGTAATCCCAGCACTTTGGGAGGCCGAGGCGGGCGGACCACAAGGTCAGATGGAGACCATCCTGGTTAACACAGCGAAACCCTATCTCCACTAAAAATACAAAAAATTAGCTGGGTGTGGTGGCAGGTGCCTGTAGTCCCAGCTACTCAGGAGGCTAAGGCAGGAGCAAGGCGTGAACCCGGGAGGTGGAGCTTGCAGTGAGCTGAGATCGTGCCACTGCACTCCAGCCTGGGAGACAGAGCGAGACTCCCTCTCAAATAAAAAAAAGTATAAAAATGTAACCTATGTGAAAAATACGTTTTTAACTTATTTGCAATCTGAAGCCACTGACAGAACCCATTACTAGACATGTTATTCCACTATGTTGTCAAATAGCTTATCGTTATATTTTTACCTACACCCTCAAGTAAGGTGGGTATGTTACAGTTAGTGGAATAATAATGCTCCATTGAATGCACAAAACTTTTTTTTTTTTTTGAAACAGGATCTTGCTCTTGTTGTCCAGGCTAGAGTGCAATGGCGTGATCTTGGCTCTCTGCAACCTCTGCCTCCTGGCTTCAATTGATTCTTCTGCCTCAATCTCTGAAGTAACTGGGATTACAGGCACCTACCACCATGCCCGGCTAATATCTTGTATTTTTAGTAGAGACAGGGTTTCACCATGTTGGCCAGGCTGGTCTCGAGCTCCCGATCTCAAGTGTTCTCCCTGTCTCAGCCTCCCAAAGTGTTGGGATTACAGACATGAGTGAGCCACTGCGCCCAGCCAGAATGTACAATAGTATTAATATAGTAAAAGAAAATATCTAATAAAAAATTAAGTCCACACATAATCTAAGAGTTTTTAAATGTACTGCATTTTATTAAATAAAAGTACAATCAGTAACATTATATGGTACTACTTTAACTTACATTTAACTAAAAAATGTTTTTCTCTTACAACATGAAAGAGTATTACTCTGAACAACTACCTCATAAATGACTAAGTTAACTACAAAGAGCCTCTTCACTTAGATACTTATCATGCATCTTACATTTCATTGTCCTTACTCTTTTAGAGAAGAGGTGGTGTGTAATTCCCACCTAATAAAGTATCCCTCATATCTCTTATGCAGCAATAGTTGATCATATGCTTTCACAGGTGAATGCAATAGAAATGAAGAAATAGCATGAAGTAATTTCAGAGTTAACTTACATCATTATTTACTTTTAGAAAGTTTCGTAACTTACCAAAAAAGTATACTTGAATGTAATTATGACTTTTCAAAGAAATGTCTACTCATTTTAAAGTTATATAAAATTAATTTACTTACCAACTGTAGTTTTGGATTTTCTACACACAGCAGTCTGATTTAGTGTAATGTCTGAAGTGTCAGTGCCTTAGCTATTTCTACTGTTAATTCTCTGATAATTATATAAACTCAATTTGAATTAAATATTTCTTCGTATTTATTTCATCTGCAAAAGAATATTTTAGTATGAGCTCTCTGGCATTTTCTATGCTATAGTTATTGAAAAAATGTTTTCCCAAACTGATTACATTTGCTGAATTCTTCTCCGATATAAATTCCCTAACGTTGAACAAAGTTTCAGCAACTGCTTCACGGTTCTTCTCTAGTAGAAAATGTGTACAATAGGCGGGCATGGTGGCTCACGCCTGTAATCCCAGCACTTTGGGAGGCCGAGGCAGGTGGATCACGAGGTCAGGAGATTGAGACCATCCTGGCTAACACAGTGAAACCCCATTTCTACTAAAAATACAAAAAATTAGCTGGGGGTGGTGGTGGGCGGGTGGGCGTGGCACCACTAGTCCCAGCCACTCGCGAGGCTGAGGCAGGAGAATCTTGTGAACCTGGGAGGCGGAGCTTGCAGCGTGCAGTGAGCTGAGATCACGCCACCGCACTCCAGCCTGGGTGACAGAGCGAGACTCTGTCTTAAAAATAAAAAAATAAAAATGTGTACAATAAAATATGTGATACAAGTACTACAACCCTCTTTATATTTGTAATGTTTGTCTTCAGAATAAACTCTTCACTTTAAAGGCTTATATTTCTGAAAGATCGTTTGATAGTAATTGTATTTATAATATTAAGTATGAACTCTCTGATGTTGTACAATATGTGAGCAGATATTAATGACTTTCCCACATTCTTTATATTTGTACACCATTTCTCAACTATAAATGCTTTCCTGTGCAATAAGTTGTGAACACTGGTTAAAAGTTATATTCTTCATACTTGGAGTTTTCTCCAGTATAAATTATTTTACCTGCAATCAAGTGTGAAAACCATTTAAAAGCTTTTTCACATTCTTTGTATTTCTAGAGTTTTGCAAGAGTATAATCTTTTTTTTTCTTTTTTTAATGTTTAGAAAAGTTTGAGGTGTTATTAAAAGCACTGTGACATTCAGGATTGTAGAGTTTTGCTCCAGTATGAAATATCTTATATCTGTTAATAATTGAGGACTTGTTAAGGGCTTTGTGACATTCTTCACACTTTAGGATTTCTTTCTAGTATAAATTATGTGTTGAGAACTTGTAAAGGCTTTGTCACATTCTTCTTATTTCTAGGCTTTATCTTCCATATGAGTTCTCATGAATTCTTTTGTACTTAGTAAATGTTGAGGATTTGTTAAATCCAGGCCACATTCTTCACATTTGTATGGTTTCTCTACTATGAATTCCCTTATGTTTAATAAGGATCGAGGAATGGTTACAAGCTTTGCCACATTCTTCACTTCGTTGGGGTTCTTGAGCATGAATTCTCTTATGTACAGTAAGGTTTGATAAACGATTAAAAGGTTTACCACATTCTTCACATTTGTAGGGTTTCTCTCTAGTATGAATTATCTTATGTTGAGTAAGGTGTGAAGACCGGTTAAAGGTTTTGCCACACTCATCACACTTGTAGGGTTTCTCTCTAATATGAATTATCTTATGTGGAATAAGGTATGAAGACTGGTTAAAAGTTTTGCCACACTGTTCACATGTGTAGGGTTTCTCTCTATTATGAATCATCTTATGTTGAATAAGGTGTGAAGACCGGTTAAAAGCTTTTCCACACTCTTCATGTTTATAGGGTTTCTCTCCAGTATGACTCATCTTATGTCCAGTAAGGGCTGAGGACCGGTTAAAGGCTTGGCCACACTCTTCACATTTGTAGGGTTTCTCTCTAGTATGAATTATCTTATGTTGAGTAAGGGTAGTAAGAGCTGAAGACCAGTTAAAGGCTTTGCAACATTCATCACATTTGTAGGGCTTCTCTCTAGTATGAATTCTCTTATGTTCAGTAAGGTGTGAAGACCAGTTAAAGGCTTTGCCACATTCTTCACATTTGTAGGGTTTTTCTCTAGTATGAATTATCTTATGTCGAGTAAGGTGTGAAAACCTGTTAAAGGCTTTGCCACACTCTTCACATTTGTGGGGTTTCTCTCCAGTATGAATCCTCTTATGTCGAGAAAGGGCTGAGGACCGGTTAAAAGCATTGCCACACTCTTCACATTTGTAGGGCTTCTCTCCAGTATGAATTATCTTATGTTTAGTAAGGGCTGAGGACTTGTTAAAGGCTTTGCCACATTCTTCACATTTGTGGGAATTCTCTCTAGTATGAATTCTCTTATGTTGAGTTAGTTGTGAAAGCATGCAAAATGATTTACCACATTCTTTACATTTGCAAGTTTTCTTTTCAGTATGTCTTATCTTATGTCTATCTACATTTGAAAATTTATAAAAGACTTTCTCATATTCATCACATTGATATATTTTCCTCTGGGTTGTTGTCAGACATTGGTTAAGTCTATTACAATCTCCTTTGCACACCTTACACTCATCCACACTTTTACAGCCTAATCTTAATTGTAAATTATCACGTCCACATTTATCATATCTCCTCAGTATGACTTTTTGGAAAAAATCTTTAATGTCTCGCTCTGGCCAAAGGTCTTCAGCAATATGAGAACACATAACTAAAAGAAATTAAAACAACAAATTACTCCACTTACTGGACTCAGGTAAATATTTTTTACAAATCTAACCTATAAAACTATATAAACTATATAACCAAGATGGCATAGCAAAATAACACAGCCTCTAATTTATTCAAAAACATATAAAATGTAACAAAAACATACTGACCAAAACACATTTTTGGAAAATTTATAAATAAATGTGTGAAGTGCCCCAGGTGAAAACAATGAAAAAAGCAACATGAAGAAAAAGAAAAGTCTGTTACATTAACCCAACACAGAACTTCCTTCTCCCCAGTATAACATAGTGTTCTTAGAAGTAAATTGCCAACTCCTTGTTTCTATTTAAAAGACAAGAAAAATACTGGCACATACATTTTTATGTCTGGCTTTTAGGGGTCTTTCAAGACCCTGGTTTCAGTCTCTCATTAAATAAAATGCTGAAAAAAATAGTATACTTTGGAATGACAATTTGAGACTGCTGAGACCAAAGGTAAATGTCACCAGCAGAGAGACTGCAGTACCACAGAAAGGGATCAAGTGTAGCAAGTGATAAATGCAAATAAACTTTTTAAACTAGAAAATAAAACATTTCAGATAAGACACATTCTAAGAATATGTTTGAAAGCCTCCCAGAATGACTAGCCGTGACAACTGGTTTCAGACTGTGCCAGGATAAAGCTACATTGTAAAGATTGTGACAGGTGGCTTTTTTTTTTCTTAAATGTCCAAGTCTCAATCAAAGATTACAATGTATACAAAATATTAGGGCAACATGGCCCCTTCAAAAAAAATCATGAAATTTTCAGAAAGCAATCATTATAAAAGTATTTTAAAAACAGGAATTGTGCAGGTAAAAAACACAAAAAGAGATAATAACCAATTCTAAAGAAAAAATAGTATAAAAATAAAGAAGTTCCACAAACTAAAACATACATCTATAAGAACAATTTAAAATGTCACAGATAAGAAAGAATCTAAAGAGCTGCAAGATGAAAGTGATGTGTCATTTGTAAGCATAGTTACACAATAAAGTTTTTCAGAAGAAAATCTTACACGCCAGAAGAAAACTGTGTGATATTGTCAAAGCCCTGAAGAAAAGTAGCTGTCAAGTGAGAATAATCACCAGCAAAAATGTCCTACCAAACAATAATAAAGACCTTCCAAAATAACCAAATCCTGAGACAGTATATTGGCACTATAGATGGCCTATTTATCAAAGATGCTGAAAAAAGTTTCTTCCACTGAAAATAACATGATGCAAGAACACACAATCATATAAAAATACGTAAGTTCCTGGGAAACATACATACACAAAAATAGAATTCCTTAGCATTCTCATAAGGAGACAGAAAACATTTATTATTCTCTAAAATTAGAAAAATAAAAGCACAGAAAGTATTGTAAATATCTGTTAATAAATACACAACTTAAAAAGATATAATCAGCAATATCAATAACAAAGTTGAGGGCAGATGTAATGATGAAAAATTTTTGTATATAACTGAAGTTCATTTTGCACCAGATTAAATATATACTGTTTTATCTTTTAGAGGTTTTATGTAATCCCCAAAGTATCACAAAGAAAATATCTGTGTAGACACCTAAAAGAAAATAAGAAAGAAGTGAAATTTTATCAATATTAAAATGAAATAGACACAAAGGAAGACAGAAAATGAGGGATAAAGATACAAGAATCAAATAAAATAAAATAACAGGAGTCTTTGTCTTTCAGAAAATTACTTACATATATGTATAATTAACTTTCTAATCAAGAGACATAGTTTCAATAGCCTTTCTACAAGAGTCAGTTTAGAACAATAAAGCCTGAAAGTGTCAAGATTGAAGTAGGCATTTTATCCAGATATTAACCAAATGAGAGCAGAAAAGTTCAAATTAGTATTACATGAGCTACATCTTGAGTCAAAAACTCATATTATATAAAATATATATGAAGTCAAAACTCCAAAAAGACAAAGGGCATTTTAAGCAATAATAGATTTATTCACTGGGAACCTATGAAAAATTTGTACATATGTGCACGTGTGTGTACGTGTGTATCTCACATTAGGGTTCCAAATATGTAAGGTAAATATTGACATAATTGAAAAAACACATAAAAAGCAATGTAATTATAGCAGGATATTTTGATACCTCACATTCTCTGATAATAATAATAAAAGAGAGTATTAGTAAAGAAACAGCAGGCTGGGCGCGGTGGCTCAAGCCTGTAATCCCAGCACTTTGGGAGGCCGAGACAGGCGGATCACGAGGTCAGGAGATCGAGACCATCCTGGCTAACACCGTGAAACCCCGTCTCTACTAAAAAATACAAAAAACTAGCCGGGCGTGGTGGCGGGCGCCTGTAGTCCCAGCTACTCAGGAGGCTGAGGCAGGAGAATGGCGTGAACCCGGGAGGCGGAGCTTGCAGTGAGCTGAGATCTGGCCACCGCACTCCAGCCTGGGTGACAGAGCAAGACTCCGTCTCAAAAAAAAAAAAAAGAAACAGCAGACTTGAGGGCAGTATAAACAAGTATTTCTAACAGTTATAGAGAACACTTCTCAACATTAGGAAAAACACCCTTTGCAATAGCTCATACAACATTCTTTTTGATAGACCACCTGTTAGCTCAAAAAAATAAATCTTAACAAATGTTTTAAAATTAAAATTTTGAGCTGGGCGCGGTGGCTTACACCTGTAATCCGAAAACTTTGGGAGGCCGAGGCAGGTAGATCACCTAAGGTCAGGAGTTCAAGACCAGCCTGGCCAACATGAAAATACAAAATTAGCCAGGTATAGTGGTGCATGCCTGTGATCCCAGCTACTTGGGAGGCTGAGGCAGGAGAATCGCTTGGACCCAGGAGGCGGAAGTAGTTGCAGTGAGCGGAGACCACAGCTGCTGCACTCTAGCCAGGGCAACAGAGCAGGACTCTGTCTCAAAAAATAAAAATAAAAATAAAAATAAAACTAACTAACTAACTAACTAACTAAATAAATAAATAAATACCTGGCAGGGCACGGTGGCTCATGCCTGTAATCCCAGCACTTTGGGAGGTTGAGGTGGGTGGATCACGAGGTCAGGAGATCCAGACTATCCTGGCTAGACGGTGAAACTCCATCTCTAAAAATGCAAAAAATTAGCCCGGCGTGGTGGCAGGTGCCTGTAATCCCAGCTACTGGGGAGGCTGAGGCAGGAGAATGGCATGAACCCAGGAGGCAGAGCTTGCAGTGAGCCAAGATTGTACCACTGCACTCCAGCCTGGGTGACAAAGCGAGACTCTGTCTCAAAACAAAAACAAAAACAAAACAAAACAAAAAAAACACCTAAAACTTTGAGTTTATGCCGATAGTCCCAGCACTTTGGGAGACCAAGGCGGGTGGATCAACTGAGGTGGGGAGTTTGAGACCAGCCTGGCCAATATGGTGAAACCCTGTCTCTACTAAAAATACAAAAATTAGCTGGGCCTGGTGGCAAGCACCTATAATCCCTCAGATACTCAGGAGGTTAAGGCACAAGAATTGCTTGAACCCAGGAGGCAGGGGTTCCAGCCTGGGCAACAGAGACTGTCTCAAAAAAAAACAAAACAAAACAATAAAAACACCCTAAAATTTATGGATTACTTTCCATGAACAAAATGGAATAAGAATATAAAACAATGGGAAAAAATTGAAAAATTCACAAATATATAGAAATTAAACAATACACTCAAGCATGCTCTTGTTCAAAGGTTAAAATAATTAATATTGTAAAGATGTTTATACTATTTAATGTAATCTACAGATTTAATGCAATGTTTCTCAAATTTCTCATTGCATTTTTGAAAAAAATAGCAACAGCAAATGCAGAGTGCTATCGCAAGAGACAACAAAGGACCCAACAATCTTCCAAAAAAAAAAAAAATGTTGGAGGCATTATAATTTCTAATTTCAAAACAGATTACAAAGCTACAGAATTAAAGCAATTTGGTATGAGTATCAAGCTGAAAACAAGACAAATCAAATAGAATGCAACACATAAACTTTCATATATATGGTCATATAGTCATTTGCTTACCCATAATTGTAGCATTGTTACTGAAAGCCAATAGGTAAAAACGATGCTAGTTTCTGTCACCAAATTATTCAATACATATAATTTGAAATGTAAAAATATTGGAATACTCAGTTTCCAAAAAGCAGAAAATATTCTAACAACTACACAGATAAATCTTGATGACATTTTGCAAAGTGACATGAGCCAGCCACAAACAGACAGAGATTGTATGAGATATATAAAGAAGTTACACCACGAGGAACAGAAAACAGAATGGTGTTTGAAAAGTGCCACAATACAGGAAAAATTGGTAGTTGTATGATGTGTAGAGATTTAGTTCTGCAAGACGAAAACACTTCAGCAATATGAATATTTGACAATATTTTATTATAAATTGTTGTGCTTTTGACAAGTAAAAATGAACAATAGCTAGAAATAATAGCTAGAAATTTAGGTTTTTTTTTTTTTTTTTTTTTTTTGAGACGGAGTTTCGCTCTTGTCGCCCAGCTGAAGTGCAATGGCACCATGTTGACTCACTGCAACCTCCGCCTTCTGAGTTCAAGCGATTCCCCCTGCCTCAGCTTCACGAGTAACTGGGATTACAGGTGCCCAACACCATGCACGGCTAATGTTTTTGTATTTTTGGTAAAGATGGGGTTTTGCCACCTTGGCCAGGCTAGTCTCAAACTGCTGACCTCAGGTGATCCACCTGCCTCGGCCTCCCCAAGTGCTGGGATTACAGGCGTGAACCACCGTGCCCAGCTGATAGTTTTTAAATTATCTTCATGCTGGGCGCAGTGGTTCACGCCTGTAATTCCAGCACTTTGGGCGGCCGAGGCGGGTGGATCACGAGGTGAGGAGATAGAGACCATCCTGGCTAAAACGGTGAAACCCTGTCTCTACTAAAAATACAAAAAATTAGCCAGGTGTGGTGGCGGGCACCTGTAGTCCCAGCTACTCTGGAGG